GGTACAGCAGACAGATAGAGCTGTGCCGTCTGTGAGAAGCCTGGCTCTGAGTGCCACCACTGGCTCATCCCCGTTGGAGCACTGGCTCACTGATTGTATGGCACGTCTGTCCACTCAACACACACTCATTCCACCGATGTGTGCCGGCCAGGGTTCCAGAAGTAGAGGAGACAGCAGCAAACCGAACAGAAATGAAAATAGCTGCCCCTCTGGTGAGTTTGATTCCCATGGTTTCACTGAGCCTACAGAAGCAGGGGTCCATCCTGGAATGCTACAAATGGTAAATGCTGCCCAGTTGAGAACTGAAGGTTGGAAGTTTGAGTCCACCTAGCAGCTCAATCGTATTGCATTAGGCAAATCTGCAGCACAAGACCTCTTGAAAGTGTTGAAAAGCAAAGATGTCAGCTTGAGGACTAAGGTGCACCTGACCCAAGCCGTGGTATTTTCAATAACCTCATATGCATGTGAAAGTTGGACAATGAATAAGGAAGTCAGCAGAAGAATTGATGTATTTGAGTTACGAAGAGTATTAAAAGTACCATGGACTGCCAGAACAACAAACACATCTGTGTTGGAAGAAATGCAACCAGAATGTTCCTTAGAAACCAGGATGACCAGACTTCGTGTCTCATCCTTCGGATATATTATCAGGAGGGACCAGTCTCTGGAGAAGTACATTATACTTGGTAAAATGGAGGGTCAGCATAAAAGAGGGAGACCCCAGTGAGATGATTGGCACAGTGGCAGTAGCAGTTTGCTCAAGCATAGTTGTAATTGTGAGGATGGCACAGGCCAGGCCAGTGTTTTGGTCTGTTGTACATTGGGTTGCTGTGGGTCAGAATTGACTCAATGGCACCGAACAACAAAGTGGCTTCTCTGAAGTAAAGTCTGGACTTGGACTTTTAAAACTCAGCTCTTGAAGCCCCTACAGAATACAGTTCTGCTCTGACACACACGGGGAATCAACTTGGTAGCAACCGCTCTAACTGGATGTTAGTGGTTCAGTTACAATTTGTGTATCTATGTGGACATTTAGGCTGTTCCAGCTGTTGATTGTTATGAAAAAAGCTGCTTGGAATCTTCTTGAATAGGCATGGACATTTGTTTTCCTTTACCTTTGAATGAACTCCTAGGAGTGGGGTCTCTGGTTCGAAGGCTCAGTGGTTTTCCAAATGAGACCACTGTTTTACATTCCCACTAGCAATTGATGAGATTTTCACATGCTTGATACCACTTATACTGCACACTTTATTCCTGGGTTGACTAGGTAGACACTCCAACCCACCTGCTTTTGAAAGCCCTATACAGGGGTGCTGTGAGTCAGAACCGACTCAACAGCATAGCATCACCACCACCACCACCACCAAACCAGTGGGTGAAACTTAGTTGAGGAAAAGAGCCTTTACAGAATTTCAGGGTTTCTCCCCACAAAATACCGGTTAATTACAAAGGAAATAAAAAAAAGGTGCCTTTACAGCAGAAAACCATGCAAGATACTTCCTTAACCAGCTTCTCAAAGTTAGTAGCACCAAAAATGGAACACATGAGTGCCTCCGGTGGGAAGGACACAGGATTGCTTCTGTGGTGTCCCTGATTGGATTCTAATCACAGGGATGCATCAGAGGAATCCAAACTGATAGGCATTCTGTAGAGTAACTGACCTGGAGTTTTCAAAAATGTCAGGACCACAAAAGACAAGCATGAAAACTACTCAGGTCAAAGACTATGACTGCCAAATGCAGCTTGTGATTCTGGATTGGATCCTCGAGCAGAGGAAGTAAAGACACTGTTTTCTATAAGGATTCAACATACCCTAATGATCGCAAACGTCTGGTCTGTGATGTTCTGGCACAGTGGGTCCTCCCAGAGAGAGGAGGAGTCACCACATTCTGCTTTTTTACCAAAGGCTGAAGGATTTTTCATATGTTAATGAGTAATTTCTATTTTTCTTTGTTTTGGATTGTCTGCCATATCCTGTATCCATTCCTATATCCCTTGTAGACACTTAACACTCTTTATTTTCCTTTAATTTTTTAGTAAAACAGGTTCCTTATTTTTTTTAAAAAACAAACAAACATAAGGATAAACCATTTAAAAGGGCATAAGGGAAATAAAATGGAATCCCCCTCTCATCTCTACATTCCCCTAGATATTCTTTCTCTTGTTACATGTTTTAAAGTTTGCCTCCAACTCTTTCAGGAGCTCTGGCAGCATAGTGGTTACGAGTCGGGCTGCTCATCTCAAGATGAGCTGTTCAAAACTGCCAGCTACTCCTTGGGAGAAAGATGAGGCGTTCTGCTCCTGTAAAGGTCTACAGCCTCGGAAAATGAAACCCTGTGCAGAGTCGCTGTGGGTCAGTCGGAACCGACTCCATGATACACCACCAACTAATCTTTTTGCTTCCATTCACTTTTTAAAGATTTCTGAATATTTCTGTGAATTACATGTGTAGCAAAAACATGTTAATGGACCAGGAAATCAGAGTGTACAATGAAAAAAAAACTGTATGCGAACCTCTGACAGTTTCATGAGAAGAAAGTATGTTTATGTTCATAGTACACATGTCTGTGTACATTTAAAAATTGATGTTGTTGTTAGATGCCATCAAGTCGGTACAGACTCATAATGACCTTATGCACAGCAGAATGAAACACTGCCTGATCCTGGGCCAACCTCACTATTGTTGCCACGCTTGAGCCCGCTGATGCTGCCACTTGGCCAATCCATCTAGCTGGGGGTCTTCCTCTTTTTCTCTGACCCTCTACCTTACCAAACATGATACCCTTCTCTAGCGACTGGTCCCTTCTGACAATATGTCTGAAGTATGAGAGATGAAGTTTGGCCATCTTGGCCTCCCAGGAGCACTCTGGGTGCACTTCTTCCAAAACGGATCTATTGGTTCTTTTGGCAGCCCAGGGCACATTCAATATTCTCCTCCAACACCATAACTCAAAAACATCAATTCTTCTACGAGCTTCCTTATTCACTGTCCAGCTTTCACATGCATATGAGGTTATTGAAAATACTATGGCTTGCACCATAGTCTTCAAGCTGACATCTTTGCTCTTCAACACTTTAAAAAGTTCCTGTGCAGCACATTTGCCTAATGTTTGATTTCTTGACTGCTGCTTCCCTGAGTGTTGATAGTTGATCCAAGATCTAGAATGACTGTTGCATAATTAGTAGCTCTAGTGACTAATTGTTGTTATTGTTACTAAGTGCTCAACTCATAGCAACCCTGTGTAATGTTTCTGAGGAGCAGCTGGTGGGTTTGAACTGCCAACTTTGAGGTTAGCAGTCCAGTGCTTGTCCTACAGCGCAACAACACGACTGTGAAAGACTATAGTGACTATTTGTTGTTGTTAAGTGCCGATTCATAGCTACCCTGTATAGGGTTTTCAGGGAGTGACTAATGGATTTGAACTGCTGACCTTGTGGTTTAAACTGACATTGCAGTCAAGTGTCTATCCTTTAGTGCCATGCGAGGACTATATAGTGACTATGTTATTGTTGTTGTTAAATGCCATCAAGTCGGTTCCGACTCATAGCAGCCCTGCATAGGGTTTCCAAGGTGGCTTTGAATCGCTGACCTAGTGGTTCAAAGTCCAGTGCTGATCCTATAGCACCACCATGATGACACAGAGGGAGCAAATGGCTTAAATTCTGAGATATTGAAGGTCTTTATATAATCTTTGGTGTTAACCCTTGATTTACCAAAACACATAAAAGAGTTGAAGTTGGTATTTGGCTAAACGGTGTGCAGGTTGGTGGTAAAGTTGCGTCTTTTCTGATAGTATCAACTTAAAAAAAAAAAAAAATCCTTCATGGAATAATAGAATTTTAGAACTATAGGGCTGCTGAAAATTCTTATGTAAATGATTTCTTTTCCATAAATGAGAAACAAATGCCTCGAATATGGTAACTGCCATAGCCTGGGTTCTCTAGAGGAGAAAACCAGTAAAGCGTGGATATTGTTGTCGCTGTTGTTAAGTGCTGTTGGCTCAGTTCTGACTCACAGCCACCCTGCAAAGGGTTTCGGAGTAGTGGCTGGTGGGTTTGAATTGCTGACCTGGCTGCCTCATGTGGTGGTTGGGGTTGACTAATCCAAAACCTGCAGCTCATACAGCAGGCTGGAGGTCTCATTTGGCTGTGGGGGTTGCTGAAGTTGATGAATCCACTGTCTGTCTGAAAGTCAGGCAGCAGGTCAGAGACTTCTGCAGGCAAAGTCCTAAGAAATGGAGGTCTAGTAACCAGAAGAGTACAGCGCTGAGAAAGTGTGAGCTTGGCTGGAGCATTCATTTGTATACCAGTTTCCCCAAGGAAACGCCCCTTTCAGCTGATCGGATGTTTATATCAGACAACAGAATGGAAGGTGGCTACAGAGTATGTTCAGAACCACTGTAAATTACAGCCTAGGCAGACTGACACAGTGCATCAACCAGCCCATGATTCCATTCATGTGTGTTGAGCTCCTGGTGTGGTGCTGCTGGGTAATGCACTGGACCACAAGGTCAGTGGTTCAGACTCACCAGCTGTTCCTTGGAAACCCTATACAGGGTCACTGTGAGTTGGAACCAACTCTGCAACACCTAACAGCAGCAACAGTGGGTGAATGGCCCATATAAGCTAAATAACCTCTCAGTCCATTTGGAATAGGTGTTTTGCTATTTGAGTAAAGGAACCTGAAGGCTACTTTCCAAAGGTTTCACTCATTGAACAGACATTTATTGTTGCCTTAAATGAATCAAGGGATTACTATTTGATTCCTTTAACTCCAGGCTCATGAAGATTGGGTATCATTCGGGTCATAAATGATTTGTAACTTAATGGCAGTACATCCTGTGATAGTGTGGATTCTTGGTGGCTTTCTTTGCCTGTGAAGGGAGTGGATTACTTTTGCTGTCCTAGAGCTTAGCAGTGTGACATGCTACAGGGTGAGGAACAGTCCTTTCTTCAAGCTTGTTAGGAACTAAACTTTTCTGGTTTGTTTTTTTTTCTAGCTGGAAGAAGAGAGATCTGTGCTCAATAATCAATTGTTAGAAATGAAAAAGAGGTAAGTTTTCTCCTTTTGCTTATTGGGGTATGTGTATGTGTGTGCTTTATAAGGAACATGCCAGAACAGGACGTGGACAGTGACTTACAGTAGAAAACAAGGGACTGTGTATTCAGAAAAGTGCATTGTGGTAGTTTGGTGAACTCATAACTGATACATTTTGAAAAGTTAACTTGTAAATTTTTTACTATTAATAACTAGAAGAACAGTATAAAAATTTTAAGCCATGTCCATTGCATTTGTTAAGATGTGTTCTAACATCAGATCCTTGTGTTAGACTGATAGTGGATCTGTAAAATAAACACTGGCCTGTGAACCTCAAATTTGGTGGTTCCAGTTCACCAGCTGCTCCTTGGGAGAAAGATGAGGCTTTCTGCTCCTGCAAAGCTGTATAGCCTCGGAAACCCTGTAAGGAGTCGCTATGAGTCGGAACTGACTCGACGGCACTTAACAAAAACAACCATCTAATATCTGTAACAAACAACTACCATCATTGCAGAGGTAGCTTTTGTTCTACATACACATAAATAACCTATTGCAGTAATAGAAAATTTTTAGCTTTTCAATAGTAATTTATTTTATTGCCATTTCAAATATTTCTGCTTATTTTCATAAAAAGTCCTTTGGTTATTTTATTATTCTTCCATAATAAGAATATTCAAACAGAGACCCAGTACTTTTGAGTGAGGATGACAGCGGCCCACAGACATCATAGTTTTTGAAGCCGGACGCTTCTCTCTCCTGATGGCTGCTGTCTGCTCTTTTATGCTGTCAGGTTGTGTCTAGGGAAACGTCTGTGCTTTGCAGAACTGCAGGCCAGGTAGGTGTGTGTGTGCTACGGCTGAGGAGCCACAGCCTGAACAGTAGTTGACAGCAGAGTTCGAAACACACACATCCTATCAGAACAGTGGCTTGCTTTATTTCTTACTAAAAATAAAAAGATCATAAAGTTTTTAAAAGTAGCATAACCAAGAATTCCTCCATGCTTTTGTTAAGTATCTATTCTCTACATGTCAGGACACAAGAGCGTTCCCCACAAACATCCTGACACCTTGTCTTATGTGAGCAGTGGCTTAGAAACGTGGGGGCTTATTTAGCCAGTTGTGATGTCTGAGTGCCAGAAACTGCATCCTGAAGAACACTAGGCTCAGCCCAGGGCTTGCTTTTCTTGATTAAGAAAAACTTAGATTCATTAACCTTTAGGATCCCATCAGAAAGTGCTCATATGCCAGAACGCACTTGTGCCTCACCTTGGCCGTGCCCCTGGTGCAGCCAGGTGTCCTCCAGGTGACCAGGAGGTGTGCCTGGCCTGCTGTGCCTGCACCTAGTTCCTGGAGATGGGCACAGCTGTGACCCATGTTAGGTTCAGGATAAGTGATTTACTTATGTGAGATTCCTTTTCTGTAAAGAACCTCATGTAATTAGTGATCAAGGGCAAACAGAAAATCAACAGGGCAGGTTACTAGGGCATTTCAGTGAGGAAACATAAAGATGGGTCGGCCTGTATTGGCATAGCCCCTTACCTTGATGTGGCACTAAATAACTCACAAGGTCATTGACTCTCGAAACAGCCCATGAAACAGCTGCTGGCCTTGCACTTAAAAATGACGAACAGGAGCCCCAAAATTAAATAACTCGGCCAAGAATTCAGATCTTTAGATTTTTATGTAGGTTCTTTTCTCACTCTTCTTTGGAGACTTTCATTGATTTGTTACTCGTTTAATTAAGTTTTGAAAGAAAGCAGCTAAGTTGACCTTAAGTGAATCACATCCCTTTCAGAATGTGATATTAGGCATGTGGCTGTTTTCATAGCTTAAAAAGATGGAACCAATTTGGCTACTTTCAGATGTTCTCTCCTGATGTGACTGTCTCTGCTTGCCTTTTAAGTCCTGGCTACGTTTGGTTTGTAAATGATACTTGTTTTGTTGTGTGTTTCTGTTTTTCTTTCCTCAGTGAAAAAAAAGTCATTATCTATTTAGAAGTGAATTTTTTTGCTTGTTTTTCTGTTAATTAACCCCCAGGGGGAAAAAAGTATATTTGTGTTTTAGAAATTTGACTATAAATATATTTTAGCTAACAATTTGGGCCATGAAACACTTTCTGGAAGTCATTTTGGTAGTGGATTAATATATGGGTGTTTCAGAAGGTTTGTAGAAAAATTCCATTGCCTTTTAATTTCATTTTTCCATGGACTTTTTGAGACCCCCTCACATATAGGTCTATGCATGGAATGGTTACATAAATTTATTTCAGAGAGCACTAAACATAATTTATAGTATCTTAATTTTCTAAAGGAGTCCTGGTGTGGTGCTGTCAGATAAGCACTGGACTGCTAACTGCTAGGTCAGCAATTCAAACCCACCAGCCTCTCCTTGGAAACCCTATAATACAGGATGGCTATGAGTCAAAACTGACTTGACAGCAATTAACAACAACTTTTTAACGGAGTGTGGAAAATACTTAGATCAGAACAGTATTTGAAATGTTGTTCATGCAAGAACTGAAAGTCTTGTGTTTGCAGTTTCCCTAAGAAGTGACCCTGAACACCCACCCCCCAGTCAGATCCCCGAACACTGTAGTAGCCACGTAATCACTGCATCCCAGCAGACAGTTACACCTTTGTCAGCTCTGTTTAACTTACTCATAGGGTCTCTGACTATAGAATGAAACTAGTTGTCATTAAGAAATTAGTGCCTTCCTCCTGTATTTACTGTGGTTTCACGGAAACTGCAAGCATTGAATAGCGAAACCACATGGCAGTCAAGATTTTTTTCTCCTAAGTTTAAAAATGCAATCATTTCTTTGGAAAATTGGTCTCCCAAGTTGGGCAGACTTCCTTCAAAACAGGTTCTGAGTGGTCTCCTAAATAAAGCAGAGTAGCCTTTGAATTTTTGCTCCTCATTCGACTTCAGCCTAAAGAAGAGTTGGGAACCTGTCTGGCTTCCCTTCTCTCTTCTCGGCCTTTTGAGACTGAAGAAGAGACTCTGAAATCAAAATCTTCGACATGGAATTTTGGGAGTCACAGATAATTCTGTTAGTGTAAATGCCAGGGTTCTGCCAGGAATGAAAGCGAGTGGACGCTACGCTACCGTCTCCCAGTTCTAAAGAGGCCACGTTCTAGACCAGCTCATGAAACACACTGTGGGTTGCTGACTGTCTGACTGTCTCCGAGCTAGCGCTACTTACCAATGCTCATTTCACTCCTCTCTTTTCCCTTTCCTACTCTTGCTTCCTTTGCTATATCTGTGTGTCTTTAATGGTAAGACTCAAGAAAGTCTATCCACGTTATAATAAATAAACTTCATATATTTTTAGTAAACCAAATTGTTGTATATATATTTTTGGCTGCCTTTGTCCCTCTGTGTCTTGCTTTTGTTTTGTAAACTGTTCTCAACAGCACACACACACACACACACACACATACACACACACTCACTCAAATTCCTTATTCATATCTACAGCAAAGAACTTCAGTGCAAATTTAGTTCTCCTTACTGTATTTACATTTCTCTTCATGTTTCTAATATTTAGTTCTTGTTATTTTGCATTTTTAAAGCTTGCCCAGTAACACTTTAAGGTATTTGCTTCATTACTGGAATTTATTTCTTAATGAAGTAGTAAGGAAAGAATCTGGGTTGGGGGCAAGAGAAGGATTTCTGGCCCTTGTCTCCCTTCTTTCATATGGAGTGTGTCTCTTCCCTTCTTGATCTTGTGAGTCATGCCAAGTCCATACCTGGACAGCACACAATCCCAGGGGCTCCCTGTTGGCCTGGTTTGTGACTCCCATCAGTCATTTTTTGCATAAATAGCTTACTCTCACCCCTCTTGGTGTGTGCAGTGGGTTTGGGCCTTAGACGTAGCCTCACAGGCCAGCATTGAAGATCTGATGAGCTGCTGAGGTCTGTTCTGTCGTTGGCTTAGAAACCACAAGCCAGGCTCTCTCTCAACCGTGTAGCTTTTGGTAATTTATATAAGAGATCTACTGCTTGCTGTCTTCTCAGAAAGCAACCTGGCTTCAAGGCTGTGTGTATATGAATATGCATGATTGATTACAAGCAGGGTTTTCAGGTGGTGGCAGTTCTGTTTCCTGCTCCCAGCTGCTGGTGCGCTTATCCCATCACAATACAAAGAAGCTGGGGAGCTCAGTTAATTTGAGGTTCCAATGCTTGGAAAACCTCAGTCTGTTTAAACAACAACCAAACATGTTCAGTAAAAATACGTTAAATTACGCTTTTCCAAGATAAGGTTGATCAATAACAAGAGAAGCTTTCTTTGGCAATATTTTCACCATAGAATAAACTGTCAAGTTTAAAAGAAACTTCAGCATCCCAAGATTTACTAATCTGTGGATAACACCAGATATTTACTTTCCAGGTGGCAAAAAGTACCTGTCACACTCCTACCATTTAAATTTTTGTCTTGTTTTCACCAAAAGCGAGATCCTATTTTGTAGCATGGTGTGTTACAAACTTAGTCATCCCACAGCACTGATGTCCGCCCCTTTCCAGTGTACCTATAGAGCTTGGGGTTGAATTCAAGAACATCCCGTAAGTCTCAGATTCTTTTCTTACTACTGACCATGCTGGAGTGTATAGTGTGAGCCACACAATGAGAGAAAGACAACACGTCTATTTTCATCTTTGTGTAGAATTTCAATTTACCATAAGTCATAAGAATTCTGTAATTCATGTGCCGGATATCTTGGGTCTCACTAACCAGACATACATTCTGCCATTTCTAACCTGGGCCTCAGTCTCCTCTTGCTCCAGTTGGTTCTAAAATGGACAGAACCATGACATGCTCCACCTTCACCCAGTTACTGCCAGCAGAACCCGAGAGTCATTTGGCTGGTTGTTGTTAAAGCAGCGACAGGTGCTCCCTGTTTGCATTAATGCGCTGTCAGAAGTCGGGGTGCAGCGAAGACAGTGTGGCTACTAGCAAGGACACTTCTCCCCAGTTTTGTTTTCCCCCTATGGTTTTTGTGATACAAGGTTTCTTTTCCTCTCATGTTTCAGTCTGCAAGTAATTTTTAATAAAAACTTTTGTTTTAGAATAAATATAGATTTACAGAAGTTGCAAATGAGCACCGAGATTCCCGATATCCTTCTTACCCAGCCCTCTCAAATGCTAAGTTCTTATGTAACCACGGCACATTTATCCAGACTAAGATTTCCCAGTGTAGACTTGATTTGGATGCCCCAGTTTTTTCATTCAGGTCATTTTTTCCTTTTCTCAGATCCAATCCAGAAATGCCCCTTACATTAAGTTGCTGTAGCTCCTCAGTCTCCTCCAATCTGTCTGTTCTTCAGTCTTTCCTTGTCTTTCTGACTTGGACACTTTTGCATGTATATCATTTTGACAACCAAAATGTGTAACGATCACTCAATAATGCATTTTTACCTGCCCCTTTGGGTTGTATCTTCTTCCCCTCCTCTCTCTCATCCTTGCCTGTCTTCCCCACACGCCCTTGGATCCTAGGTAAACATTTCCCTCTTACTAAAGGCCTTGCCCTACCCCCTACCCCAGCTGGCTCTTCAGAGAACAGAAAGCCAGGTGCCCGACTCTCTCCCTCCAGGCTCCCACGCTTTCATTTTATACCTGGAAACCCATGTTAACATTCTCCGTTCTAGCCTTTACGTAAGTACCTTTCATTTTGATGAGCAACTCCATGTCCTCTTCAGATTCTAGGGGTTGGAAAGCAGTAATCTTTTGGTTTGAATAATGGTAATAATCCTTGCTTTGTTTTGGCCCATAATATCTCAAAAACCACATTCTTGGAACTTGCTGAAAAGTTACTGAAATTAGTGAGAACCAATGGATACTTCCAGCATAAAATTGCTCTGCATGAAATCATACAATCGCTTTGCATGTGTGTATTTTTCTTTACTTGTTGTAATTGCTTGGTAATAATTTATTCAAGAAGTGACAGAATTCAAATTTGGGATTAGATTTTAGTGGAATTTTTTTGGGAGGGGGAGTGTAACAGTTTTATTTTTTTAAACTCTCCATCTTCCAAATTAATAACTTGTTTCTTTAAATTTGAATGGATACAATGATATGCAGAGTCTGGCATGTCTATGCATAGGTACACTTTTCTCCCCTCACAGTAAGTAGCATTTCAAGTAACATTGTGCATAATAGTCTCAACCCCTATCAAACTCCCTGTTACACATTGGTTTTTTGTTTTGTTTTGTTTTGTTTTGGCCTTAACTAAAGTTAATTGTGTGGGGTTTCTTTTGTTGTTGTTTTTCAGTCGTAAACTGACTTCTCGGTTGATTTCTGGAACTTTTAACTCTTTGGTCTTTTAGGGAATCCAAGTACATAAAAGACACAGATGAAGAGAAAGCTTCATTGCAGAAATCCATCAGTATTACTAGTGCCTTACTCACGGAGAAGGATGCGGAGCTGGAGAAGCTGAGGAATGAGGTAGAGTCCCGCCTTACCTCGGGCTCAGACCACAGCCAGCCAGCTAGGTGTAGGCTCTGCGCTAAGCTCTGCCCCTGTGTTCCAGGTGACCGTGCTGAGGGGAGAGAATGCCTCTGCCAAGTCCTTGCACTCCGTGGTTCAGTCTCTCGAGTCTGATAAGGTGAAGCTTGAGCTAAAGGTAAAGAACCTGGAGCTCCAGCTCAAAGAAAACAAGAGGCAGCTCAGCAACTCCTCAGGTAAAATGTCATCTGTGAGCTCGGCCCTCCCACACAGGGTGCAAGGTGGTGCCTCCTGCAGAGGAGCAGTTCCCAGGAGGGAGGAGCCCTCAGACAGCTGGGCAGCTGCTCCTGACCTGGACCATCTGTCCTTGGCTCTCCGTTGCTTATCCAATGAGGGCTACCCCCAACTCAGGGCCAGCTCACAAGGCTGAGCCTGGTGTCTGACTCCTGGATTTCCCAGTGCTTGCTGAATGTTGTCACAAGAAACACTGGTTAGTGACAGGTATCGCCACAGCAGTGACCATAGTGCTGGCAGATCACTGAGTGGAGGTGAGCAGAGATGGCCCCTTTGTTCTCTTAACTTCCCAGGTTCTGGTACCTGTTCTTAGCCAGTGGATGGCTAGTCTGCAGAGAGAACACCCAAGGGGATAGGGCCAGTGTGTCTGACCCCTTCAGTACCCAAAGTGGGGCAAAAGCTCCATCCCATGCTCTTTTAGAGGGACCTGGGAAATCCCACATGGAAATCCGTTTCCTCCAGCTTCCCTTGCACTGTGATAACTAGGAAACCAGACTGTACTGCACTCGAATCCCCTCCATCGTGTGTGTTTGTTTTGTCACTCAGGTAACACTGACACTAAGGCAGAAGAGGACGAGCGAGCCCAGGAGAGTCAGGTAATAGTCCTGCTGAGTGTTTTACTTTGTTGCAATTCAAAAAAAATCATTTAATCTTTTAAAATGGTCATGCATTCATATGGCTCAACTATTGAACTAGACTCTCTCGCTTTCTCTCTCCATATATATATATACATACAAGTCCCGGTGTTATATATAGAGAGAACACTAGGACTTCTGTGTACTAGTAGGGGCTTCAGAAAGTTTATGGGGAAATTACATTATCTTCTCATTCCATTTTTCCACAAACTTTTTGAAGCCCCCTCATATTTCTGTAGAATAAACTTCTAGAAGTAGAATTGTTACATCAAAGAGTACCATGTTCATCTTTACCTTAAAAATAAAAAAATAAAAAAAGACAAGTTCTTGAAAACCAGGTTTCATAAAACCGAGATGAACACAATAGCCCTAGTTTCAAAAATGGTATTGTATGAAGAGAGATGATTTTATATTTACAAAGTAGCTATACATAGGGAACAAACATCATCCTTTAATAGTATGCATGAAATGCATTTATACATCCAAAATTCAAAGGTACAGAAAGCTGTCTCACTTTTAAATAACAGGAGAGTCTTAGTGGATTGGAGAGCAGTTTTAGTTCTATCTGAAGATTTTTCTGAGAGGATCCAATGAATGTACTCACTCATCCTGGGATTTAGCACTGTTTGATTAGTTTGTGTGTCTAGTAGGCATAATACTTAACAGTTTTTCTCCTCTTTTCCCCTTTCCTGCTTCCATTTGTTTCTGCCGCTGACAACACTTTTCTTCCATCAGCAAATGGTTTGTTTTACGTTTCCTAACTTGTGTTTGTGTGCATATGTGTGTGATTTCTTGATATGCTTATATCCATTCTATGGCTTTTTCTTCTTCCTGAAATGGAGTTCTAAAGAGGGTGTTGACTTCTAAATCTGTAAAATACATTTGAGGAGTGAACATAGATTCAGTGGCTCTGCCTCCAAAGCCAGCATTTTTCAGGGAGGAGCTGCAGTGAGCATGAGTTTAATTTTCTAACTTGCCCCAGCAGGAGAGGAAAAAGCCAAATACATGTTTCTTTAGAAAGTAAATATGTGTATGTGTATATGGTTTCAATATTGCAGAGTGGGCCCTTCATTAGGCAGAGAAGTGAGGCCATGTTAGTATTTGCAGAGGAGGAAGAAACCTTTGTTTTAAAAGGCCTTTGATGAGGTCAAGAGCAGCCATCCTGGTGTTCGTCTCACTGCCCCGTGGTCCAGGGCCCCCACTCTGCCTGTGTGGGTTCTCAACAGCTTGGCAGCATGTGCCATTGCTTTCTTGGGCCAAGGGGCACTCTGACCTTCTCTTTTAAACCCTTTGCCTTTCCCAGAAGAAAGTTACATCTCTTCCCACCCTAATTAGTTCCCAGTAGATGCTAAATGAAGGTCTGATGTGAATTTCCATGTAGTTTTTTCAAATCCACAGAAGAGAAAAGTTTTTGATTGATTCCAAGTTTTCATGGAACAACTAGCTGATGACACTTTTTTGCAAAATTGTGCATATCTTTTTATGTGTAGAAGCAAAAAACAATTTAAGCTTATAGTGTGCCATGCAATCAGAAATAGAAAATGATAATTTTTGGAGAATTCAAGGTATGGTTCTTTTTTTTGTTTTTCTATCAAAAGAAATCAATGTTTCTTGGCATTTTCCATGAGTCAGTAGTAGTACCCCACCAGCCCACGATGTAGGTAGTCACGTGTAATTCCGTTTGACTCACTGACAATGGAAACTTCAGCACATACTGTGAAAATACCACTGATGAAATGTGATTTTAAATGTTTTTAAAACATTAAAAATAGCATCTAGTCCATAAAGAAAATTTGGAGACTGTTGGATGGGAAAGAAAGGGAAGAAGACGTGCTAGAAAGGTCACCTTACTGTGGCTCTGACTCGAGTCAAACAGTCTCAACATTTCTATTCCTTGTGAAGTTGGTCACCATGCTTCAGTAATGGCCACTGTCAGCCCCTGCTGGGACGTCTGCCACACTTCTAGCCATAGTGAGAGGAGGTTCCCAGGATTGCTCGCTATACCGTCTTCTGTGTGTTTTAAATATTTCACTCCTTTGACTGCTGCTGTTTTCTTTCCTCCCCATATAGATTGATTTCCTAAATTCAGTCATTGTGGACCTTCAGAAGAAGAATCAAGACCTCAAGTTGAAGGTGGAGATGATGTCAGAAGCAGCCCTCAACGGCAATGGGGAAGACCTGAACAATTATGACAGGTATTCTATACTCTGGTAGCGTAGTGGTTACGAATCGGGCTGCGAACCGGAAGGTCAGTAGTTCGAAGCTACCAGCTGCTCCGCGGGAGAAAGATGAGGCGATCTGCTCCCGTAAAGATTTACAGCCTCGGAAACCCTATTCAGGTTCACTATGGGTCGAAACCGACTCGACGGCACTTAACAACAACAACAACAACAACATTCTGTACTAAGAGACACTGCCCCAGCCCTATGATCAGTTGTGGATACATTGTTGTGACCACAGGGTTTTCAGTGGCTGATTTTAGGAGGCAGAACACCAAGCCTTCCTTCCTTGTCTGCCGTAAGTCTGAACACACCACTGAACCTTGTGCAGCATCAGAGCGAACCACACAGACCTTCGCTGGCACACAAGTGGTAGCTGCACATGAGCTGCGTTGGCCATAAACCGGTCTCCATGAAGGTTGCAACCGAGTGTTGGCTGCAAATGGTTGGAGAGCAAAATACCAAGAATATAGTTAGCTAATACTTGAGGTTCACAGACTTGGCTATAATTAGCTCCTTTTTCTTTTTTTAAAATTTTACTTCTTATTGTGATTTTAGTGAAAATTAACAGAGCAGATTGGTTTTGCATCCAACGGTGCATACACAATATCACAGTATCACAGCACTCTTTCCACTTCCTTCCTGCACTGACCACTTTGTCTTTGTCCTCCTTTCCTATTTTTTCCTGTCTTCTGAACCTTAATCCTGGGCAAATGCTGCCCTTCTTAATTAGTTCTTGCCTGCTCCCCTTCCCCCCATGAATTTCTTTGGCTCTAAATGAGTTTCTGATTATGCCTCTTAACATTTGTAGTGATGACCAGGAGAAGCAGTCCAAGAAGAAACCTCGCCTTTTCTGTGACATCTGTGACTGCTTTGACCTCCATGACACAGAGGACTGTCCCACCCAGGCACAGATGTCCGAGGACCCACCCCACTCCACACACCACGGCAGCCGGAGCGAGGAGCGGCCGTACTGTGAGATCTGTGAGATGTTTGGACACTGGGCAACCAACTGCAATGATGATGAGACCTTCTGATGAAGCCAGAAGTCAAGAGCTGGCCTTTCCCAGATACACTTAAGATCGAAAACTTAACACCAGCAATGTGTGTGGACTTCAGGAGAACTCTTATTAGTTTTGACCGCAGTAACCAACCAATCTAAGAAAAATATTTTCATCTCCAACAAATAACCCTGTTAGTCTCCCCTTATTATAAATTAGAATAATAAATAAATGCCTAGAGGGTGAGTTTTCACCTCGCCTGTTGTCTTGATGTTTAAAAGCTTGAAGAACATGCTGCACCACATGCATTAGCTGTGTGGCCCCTCGCAGAACAGTCCCTTATTTAAATCACTTTAAATTATGCTGTTACTTTTCATATTTGCACTAAACTATTTCCAGGCTGCATTTGTATATTTAGATTTTGTTTTTTGTTTTGTCAAGCTCTGACACTGGAATGAGTGGCAAAAAAAAAAAAAAAAAGGTTCCATTTTTGCATTTTTGCATTTTTGCATTTTCATCTCCTCATTTAAAAGATTTTATTTCTAGTCAAAGACACAGCTGAGCTTTTTGCGCTACCTGATTGCAGTAATGCCTTTATTTCAGGCTTGGTGATCCTTAGGTATGGTTATAAAATCATGAAACAGAAAAAAGGAGGGGGAGCCCTAAAACTGCTGTGGGCACATTTTGTAATCTTGATGCTGCACCCACTTACCCTATTGTGCTGTTTGTTTTTTTGTTTTGCATAATTTCAGCTTCTATATATTATATGAATATATTTTTAAAGAATCTATATTTTGGGAAAAACACAGACACACAGTGTGTCTTTCAGATTTTTACCTTTATGAGGGGGAAAATACAAGACACTTAAAACGTTCATCAAGACTTAACTAACCACCTAGGCCCGAAGTCACATCATGTGGCTTTGCAACTACTTTGTTTTCATTTTATTTCAGAGATTTAAATAACTGGGAGAATGGTCCTCCCCACCCCATTTTTTTTCTATCTCTAACAGATATCCCCGGCAGTCAATTTATTAGATATAAAACATACAAATAAGCCAACATACAGTCTTCCTTCACAAGTATTTATTCACTGTGTTTTTAGATGAATGTATGATGAGAAATTCCACATTAATAATTGTGGATTTTCTTATCACAAAAATAAAGCGAAGGACCTCAAGAACCGGAACAGTCTATCAACCAATTAGAATCTATTTATCTTCATTGAATGTCTTCTAGAACATGGAAAAAGTATTAAGTACAATGTATCTTCCATGCTACATGTATAATAAGAACTTCTATAATTGTACAGATTCCTTTGATGTATTTTCCCCTCAAGATGATCAGTTGTGTGTTTGACAAGTGAATATTAAATAAATCTGTAATCAGTTGGAATTTTTGGTTTATAAACATAATAGGAATTGTTTCCCAAACAGAAAATGTGTAAAAGCAGTATTAAAATTTAAGCAAACAAGTGTTCTGTATCTACTTTAATAAATAGTTATTCTTTTTTGCCAGTGGTACTAAATTGATATTATTTTTTCATCAGTTTATTTGTCATCATGGCATTTCATCAAACAAGCAGCAAGATAGACCCAAATAGGAATTCTTGCTGCAGTCTTGTTGCTAAACAGCTTCTCAAAAACTGTTAAGTCCTTATTTCCATGTTCTGTGACCCACTTAAACGAAATACCTAAGGTATTTATGTCTTGCTCTATGACACCATGTTACTTAACAAAACCATAAGGAACACTGGGTAGAACCACAGAGCTACTGTGATACATACATAAAGGACTATTGAACCAATTTGTGAGCCAGGTTTTTGAACATCTTATTTTTAGAGTTAAGACTTCCCCACAGGCAGATATTTTCAAAGCAGAGTTACAGTTGAGCAAAATAAATTGCTTTTACTTAAATAATACCTCATAACAGTAGTTCTCAAGTTTGGTATTGACCTTAGAAGACTGAGAAACAAACTAAGTAAGTGTGCAGTATTTATAAGGTAATGGTTGTAGTACAGCAATGTCTTATGTGGTCTGTGAAAGCACTCGTCAGTCCCCTTCTAGCAGGCTGGTGCTGTTTGTGTAGGACAATTTGTCATCCTGGCCTTCCTTATTTATACTCACTAATGCTGGATATTTCTGTCACTGTAGGTATTTTTCCTGTCATAGCAAAAATAAAGACTTCTGGCACTAGATATATTGTGGAGCTAGGCATCAAAGTCTGTATAAAATCAAAATGAGAGTTAAAATTTTTTTTTTTAATTGAGGCTAAAGAGCATCCATGGCAAGGGAAACAATTTTCTAAAAGCTCTCTACTAAGTATTCCCAAGGGAGAGGATTTTTATAATGACTTTCATACAGTCGCTATAAATTTTTTTTTTCAAATTTCAAAAAAAATGTATAGGATATGATTAGTGTTATAAAATAGATGCAGGATGATGGTAAGTCCTGATCAAAAGACTGTCACACTTGTGTACAATTACAAGCATACTTTGAAGATACGACAGGTTTGGTTCCAGACCACTACACTAAAGTGAGGCGCACATTTTTTTTTTTAAAAACTCCTCAATGCATATAAAAGTTACATTGAAACAATACCGTTGTCTATTTGTGTGCAATAGTTTTGTGAAAACGTTGGACATACTGTGATAATGAACAAAACGACACAGAACTGGACTGAATACATGCTGTTGGAGAAATGGTGCCTATAGACTTATTTGATGCAGGGTTGCCACAAAGCTTAAATTTGCAAAAATGGAATTACCAGTGGAGTGCAATAAAATTAGTCATAATAAAACGAGTTCTGCCTGTACTTATAGAAACACATTCATTCCATAAATCTTCCTGGTGGCGGTCTTAGTACCATCTTACACAAAACATGATTTTATATATCAATGTGAGAAAACAAGTTTAAGTAAAACATCGTTTTGTCAATGTGTTTTCTGAGAATAAAAACAATGATAATCTAAACATATGGATCCTTGAACATTTTCTCTTTACTTAAGCATTTTGTTAAGTGCTGTAGAGTTGGTTCAAAGGAGAAAACCCACCAGTGTGAACCAACCAGTTGGAACCAAAGAGTTGGTTTGAACTGCCAAGCGTTTAGTTAGCAGTCCAGTGCTTATCCTACATCCCTACACTAGGACTTCTGCTTAAGTATAATGACATTTCAAGAATAAAAAGAGGAACACATAAAATGGAGGTTTTCTCCTAATCTTTGTCATTCCCTTCAGTAATGTTATTTGTTACATGCCAACTAATTGGTTTGGACTTACAGCAATCTTATATAGGGTTTCCAAGGAGCAGCTTGGGACCACTGATCTTGCAGTTAGCAGTCCTGTACTTACTCTACAGCCCCACACGAGGATTCCTCGGTAATGCTTGTTGTTAAGTGCTGTTGAGTTGGTTTCAACTCATAGCGACCCTGTATAGGGTTTCCGAGGTGAGGATGGTGAGTTTGAACCACCGACCTTAATGTGCAAACTGACCTTCCAGTGAGCTTTTTATCTTAAAACGCTCACACCAGGAACCCTCAATAATGCTAAATGCCTTTAATTTTTGCATGCAGCATGTCACCTCTTGGAGTCCTGGTTGTGGCACTATAGGACTGCAAGGTCGGTTTGAACCACAGTTGGATGCTAGGCTGTGAGTCGGAATCGAGTGGATGGTAGTGAGGTGGATGAAAGATTTCCGTTCAAGTTTAGACTCCGATTTTGAACCAATAGATCTGTTTTGGAAGAAGTGCAGCCAGAGTGTTCCTTGGAGGCCAGGATGGCTAACCTTCGTCTCTCCTACTTTGGACATATTGTTCGGAGGAAACAATCGTTGGAGAAGGATGTCATGCTGGGGAAGGTGGAGGGTCAGAGAAAAAGAGGAAGACCTCTAACGAGATGGATTGGCCAGGTGGCATCATTGATGGACTCAAGTGTGGCAGCGGTAGTGAGAAGGTTGGCCCAGGATTGGACATTGTTTCGTTCTGCTGTGCATGGGGTCGCTATGAGTCGGTTTCCGACTCGATGGCACCTGACAACCACAAACAACAATTTTTGCTGCTAAAAGGGAAGTTGCAATTTTTAAACGGGAATAAGAAAGATCTCGTCTTCATCTTTAAATACACTCCTCAGCGTCCGACTACTGGACTGGGTCAAGCATCGGGATTCCTTGGCTCGATTCGGGAGAACCGGAGTAGAAGAAAAGACGTAAACGCTAGGAGAAAAGGGATGGACAAAATCAAGACGATTTCAACTTCCGCGTTTGTCATAGTATCAGCGGCCCTAGTCACGTGGAAGGGGCATCACGTGACTGCGGCGGCCGCACGAAAGACAAAAACGGACGTGGTTGAATTGGAGAAAAGGAGCGGCAGGGAAAGATGGCGGCGCACCTATCCTACGGGCGAGTGAACCTGAATGTCCTGCGGGAGGCTGTGCGTCGCGAGCTCCGGGAGTTCCTGGACAAGTGCGCGGGCAGCAAGGTGAGGGGCGGGCGGCAATACCGCCTCACAGTCCGCGGCCTGATCTGGTCCCTACCGCCTGAGCTGCCGGACTTCGAGGTCCTCCTGGCCGTTCTTGGAGGCGGCCTTCACGGCCCTTCCACCTCGTCCTTGGGCAGGCAGCAACGATGAGGCGGAGAGAGGTTCGCTCGTGGGGCTGAGGGCTTACAGCCGGTAGCTGGTGTTTCATCGTTATTGTTTTGTGACTACGGAACAAATCACCGTGAGATCCCAGCCCATCGTGAGATAATGTACTACAGGTGCGCGTCAGATGCAGCGAGACAGCTGGTTGAGGCATGGGACCCGATGGGCGGGCCCGGTCCGAGGATACAGATGTAATGGTTATTCATTGTATGCATCATATGCGTCATTACATATTGCACGTTCGAAACTCTGACGTAGCAATGTCTTACATCCTACCTCTCAGATTATGAGACAAGTTGTAGTTTGTACTGTTACTAACACCAAGCTCACAAGGGCATCAGGAACTGTAGGGCAGGGACCTTATAGAATTTCATCAAGCATTGTTATCCTTTCTAATCATTCGAATTTATCCAGAGCTGGGGGGAGATTCAGAAACTAGTCTTGGGGAGAACAGAACCCCAAAGAGGTACAGTGGGTACTAGCGGTCTTTGAGAAAACAAAGTAGTTTTGGGAGCCTGGTGTTGTCATTAAATGCTGTTCCTCCCTCATGGTGACTTAACACTGCCCAGTTTTGGCCAGTCTTACAATTGTTGCTATGTTTGAGCTCCTTGTTGTAGCCTCTCAGTCCATCTCAATGATGGTCAGCCCATTTTTCTCTGACCTTCTACTTTACCAAGCATGATGTCCATTTCCAGATGCTGGTCTCTCCTTAAAACATATCCAAAGTACTGCCATCCTCACCATACTTCCAAAACAGATTTGTTCATTCTTCTGGCCGTTTGTAATATATTCAGTAATATGTATGTACCATACTTCACTGGCATCAATTCTTCCTTATTCATTGCCCAGCATATGATGTGATTGAAGATGCTATGACTTGGGTCAGGTGCACCTTAGTCCTCAAAGTGACAACTTTGCTTTTAACACTTTAAAAAGATCTTTTGTCAGAAGATTTAGACTTGAGATTTTGCCTGGTTGTGGCTCAAGAACATGGGGTTGTAGCAGTGTGGTATTCTTGTGATAATGTACAATGTAGCTTTTCAGAATGTTACCATTGGAGGAAACTGGGAGAAGTGTACAAGATGTCTCTGTTTGTTTTTTCATATTCTAGTAAAAATGTGCATAGCAAAACATTTGCCAATTCTGTCTCCATATGGAGACATTCTTGTTGGGTAAGCTTTATCACTACCCTTTTCCTAGTTATTCCACCACATTTAACATAGAGTCAGTGTTCCCTGATCAGAATTATCCTTTTGGTAACCAGTGATAATCTTTCGTTTCCATGAATTTACTTACATCCTATAAGTGAAATCACACAGTATTTGACCTTTTGTGACTGACTGACTTCACTTAGTGTCATATTTTCAAGGTTCATCCATGTTGTGACATGAATCAGGGCTTCATTTCTCTTTGTTGTTGTTGTTGTTGTGATGTGCTGTCGAATCGGTTTCGACTCACTGCGACCCTGAACAGGCTTTCTGAGGCTGTAAATCTTTATGGGAGCAGAAAGCCTTAACTTCCGCGGAGCAGCTGGTAGTTTCGAACTGCTGACTTTGTGGTTCACAGCCCGATTCGTAACCACTACGCTACCAGAGTTCCTCTTTAGGATTGAATAATATTCTGTTGTATGGGGAGACCACATTTTGTTTATCCATTCATCTGTTGATGGACATTTTGCTTATTTCCACCTTTTGACTGTTGTAAAAGGGCTGCAGTGAATGTTGGTGTACAGGTTTCGATTTTCATTCCTGCTTTCAGTTCTGCTTGGTATATACCTAGCATTGGGACTGCTGGGTCACATGGTAATTAATTCTATGTTCAACTTTTTGAGGAACTTCCAAACTGTTTTCCACTGGGGCTGCAATATTTTACATTCCCACCAACAGTGTTTTTCCACAACCTTACCAAAATCAGTAAGGACTTAAAATATTTATTGATGAAGATCAAAGACCACAGTCTTCAGTATGGGTTGTGCCTCAATGTAAAGAAAACAAAAATCCTCACAACTGAATCAATAAATAACATCCATATAAATGGAAAAAGGAGCTCTGGTAGCATAGTGGTTACGAATCGGGCTGCGAACCTTAAGGTCAGCGGTTCGAAACTACCAGCCGCTCCGCGGGAGAAAGATGAGGCTTTCTACTCCCGTAAAGATTTACACCCTCGGAAACCCTGTACAGGGTTGCTATGGGTCAGAACCGACTCGACGGCACTTAACAACAACAACAACAAATGGAGAAAAGATTGAAGTTGTCAAAAACTTCATGTTGCTTAGACCCACTATCAACACTCATAGAAACAGCAGTCAGGAAATCAAAAGATGTGTTGGAATAGACATATCTGCTGCATAAGACCTTTTTAAAGTGTTGAAAAGCAAAGACAGCAGTTTGAAAACTAAGGTGTGTCTGACCTAAGCCTTGATATTGTCAGTTGCCTCCTGTGCATGTGAAAGCTGGACAGTGAATAAGGAAGACTGGAAAAGAATTGATGCATTTGAGTTACGCTGTTGGCAAAGAATATTGAAAGTACCATGGACTGCCAAAAGAAGAAACAGATCTATCTAAGAAGTACAGCCAGAATGTTCCTCAGAGGCTAAGATGGCAAGGTTTCATGTCACATAATTTGGAAATATTATCAAGAGGGACCAGTCCCTCGAAAAGGAAATTAAACTTGGCAGAGTAAAAAGGTTGGTGAAAAAAAGGAAGACCCCCAATGAGATGGATTAACATAGTAGGTGCAACAGCAGGCTCAAATCTAACTAGTGTGAGGACGGTGCTGGACTGGGCAGGGACCTGGAAAGTCATAAAGCTCTGAACTGGAATCCTAACTCCCTTCCAGTTCCCATACCTGCTGTGTGGCTCTGGAAATACCAAAATTGCTGAGCCATTTTGATGACCTTCAGTGCTAACAGAAAGGCTAGTGGTTCTCTTCCTTTCAGATCACCTTAGAAGAAATCCCTGGTGATCTCCTTTAAAAAATTTAACCCTTGAAAATTCTATGGAGTGCAGTTGTGCGCAAACACACCCAAACTGCCATGAGTCACAGTCATTTCAGTGACAACTGAGTTTTTGTCAAAGTAGGATTTGTATGACCTGTATCATAAGTTTTAATTTTATATAATTGGATTATATGCTGCTGCTGCTGTGTGCCGTGGAGTCGGTTCCGACCCATAGTGACCCTGTACAGGGTTTCCGAGGCTGTAAATCTTTACGGGAGCAGAACGCCTCATCTTTCTCCCACAGGAACTGCTAGTTAGTAGTTTCGAACTGCTGACCTTGCAGTTCGCAGCCCGATTCGTAACCACTACGCTACCAGAGCTCCTTTGGGTTATATGATACATATGTAAAACACTAATTTGAATAACATGGAAGTTGCTGTGGTGATTTCATATAGCTTAATATGTAATACAATGACACACAGATACACAACTATAATTTTCAAGTTCCTCTTCCCTCCTGCCTCCAGGAAAGTGATTAACTTTCCTGTGATCAACAGTATCATCACTTACCTCTGATGTTAATTCTCTTCAGCCCTTTAGGATATTAATGTGGTCACAGAGTCATCTAAACTGCTGGTTAATACAGAGCAGGAGGCGAATGTTGGAATTGTGTGTGATCTCCGGCTTCTGCAGATACTGTTGAGCTCCATGATGTTAATAAGAGAACGTTTCTCTCCTCTTGTAGGCAATTGTTTGGGATGAGTACCTAACAGGACCATTTGGGCTGATTGCACAGTACTCACTTCTGAAGGTAAATGAGCTGTTTGGATTTCACTTAGGGATTAATAATTCCATAATTTAGCCATGATGATTGTGTTTGATAGTTTCTCCAAGTAATGGCTTGCAAAGAAAGCTGCTGTTTGTTCGTTATAAACTCTGATGCTAATGTGTTGTTTACACTTCGTACATGAATCTGTAATGAGCCTAATTCTCCAGGAATTGCTGATACTACATTATGTGATGATTACCCAGTGTCTTTGATAACCTCCCATTCTGAAAGCCCTTTGAATTCAAATGCAGTTGTTATTGTGAAGTGCCGTCGAGTTGATTCTGACCCATAGCGACCCTGTATAGGGTTTCCGAGGAGCAGCTGGTGAGCTTGAACCTCTGGTCTTCTAGTTCAAACGGCTTTGCAGAATATCAGTGCCTTTATCCTGATCCTTGGTCCTTCACATATCTGGGTGTTGTTAAATGCCATTGAGTCGACTCCGATTCACAGCGACCCTGTATAAGGTTTCCAAGGAGTGGCTCATGAATTTGAGCCACCAATCTTGTGGTAGAGCACTTATCCTACAACACCACCTAATTTGATAAACACATTTTGTGTGTGTGTTGTATAATAAAATATCAGTGCACATGAGGTTGTTTGGAAATCTGTGTGCCTCAATCTAGAAGTGAAACGTAAACTCCAGGATTGTGTTCACCTGTGTCTGTCTTCCCTCCAGGAACATGAAGTGGAAAAAATGTTCACTCTTAAAGGAAGCCGTTTGCCAGCAGCTGATGTCAAGAATATTATATTTTTTGTCAGACCCAGGCTAGAATTGATGGATATAATTGCGGAAAATGTGCTCAGGTATCTCCGAGCTTCTGTTTGATCTCCAAAAGAGTTAATCCTCCCCACTTCCCAGAGCATTGGAAGTTGACCTTTTAGAAGACTGGGATAGGAATGGAAGACTATAAGAAGGGAGATGGGAGTCCTGAGAAGTCATTCAAGCAGTTGAGGGGCGGAGGAATCGTCATATAACCGCATTCTTTCAAAAGAGCCAAAAGTGGACTCAAATCAGTAGAAAGCAGTTCCATTGAGTTGCCTCTGACATGTGTGTATCAGATTCTAACTCTTCTCCACACGCTTGTCCTGGCTGCGACTTTTCAGAAGCTGGTGGACCCATCTATCTTCCCAGGTGCTTATGGGTGGGTTCAAAGCAACAACTTTTTGGTTAGTAGCTGAGCACTTGACCAATTGCTCCATTCCAAGAGTAGAAAAGACACTGGTTTAAAAAGACAAACAAAAACCCTCCCATGGTTGTTTCTTTTAACACATCGTGTGTGAGTTTCATAAACAGAAGGAGCAACGGGTGGTGGAAGTGTAATATAGCACCCAGTGTGTAGAGGACGGACTCAGTTCCCAGTGTGCGTTCTGTGAGACGTTTGATTGTTCTGGCCCTTACAGCCTCGAAAGTCTGATCGCAATTTAGGGAAGTCCACTGTCAAGGGGATATGGGGGCCCAGCATGAGCTTTCACTTTCACATTAAGACTCCATGTTTCTTCACTGGTTTGACCACAGAGATATTTGTTTTCAGCAGGACACAGCTATCCTCTCTCAATGAACCTGAGAGCGTCAGCGCTTTCATGCATCCTACAGAGTATAAGAGAAAACCTGAAGATGCCACAAAGAAACTGGCTTTGAATCAGTGCTGTTTTCACGCCAGAAAAAAAAACTCCAACAAAATTAAAAAAAAAAAACAAGAGAGCAACTGGAACTGTTTGGGTCTAACAGTCAGTAATCATATGCTTACCAAACCAGCATTTACTTAGTAATTGCTGTGTGCCAGGCACAAGGTTAGGTCTGGGGAGAAACAGGCAAGATTACCTCTGACTTTTAAGGAGCTCTTAAGCTCACAAGTGTTCCTTCCTTTGTAGTGAAGACAGACGTGGACCAGCGCGAGATTTCCACATTTTGTTTGTGCCACGCCGCAGCTTACTGTGTGAGCAGCGGTTAAAGGATCTGGGTGTCTTAGGATCCTTCATTCACAGGGAGGAATACAGCCTCGATCTCATCCCCTTTGACGGGGATCTCTTGTCAATGGAATCTGAGAGCGCATTCAGGGTAAGTTTGGCATTTTCTTTATATTACATTTTGATTTATGCCGTATCTGTGTGTGAGACTTAATGTCACTCTATGAGGGGACTTCAGCAAGAAAATGGAAGAATGCAATTAAAAGGTGATGATATTTTTTCTAGGAACTTTATGTAGTCCCCTCGTATTGTGTGAATTTGCACTTCTGGGGTTCCAAGTACAGTTAAGTCTCTTTTCATGTTAATTGATGTTTAGAACTTCTGGTATGGTGCTGTAGGATCATCACTGGACTTCCAACCACCAGGTCAACAGTTCAAACGCATAAGTTGCTCTTCGGAAACGCTATACAGGGTTGCTGTGAATCAGAAATGACTCAACGGCACTTAACAAAACAACATTGATGTGTTAAGAAATTTCTCTGCAGCAAATCACTTACTCATAGTCTTTGTCCATATAGTTTTCCTTTTTTGAAGAATTCCTTTTCTTTTAAGATTTTATTGTGAATTGA